GTCCTGATACTACCCCACAACACACATCTCTGACTACATACCACTTGAGCTGGTCCTGAAACTATCCCACAACCAACTTCTCTCACTGCATACCACCTGGGCTGGTCCTGATACTATCCCACACCCAACATCTCTGACTGCATAACACCTGGGTTGGTCCTGATACTAACCCACAACCCACCTCTCTCTGACTGCATACATCTGGTCTGGTCCTGATACTATCCCACAACCCATCTCTCTGACTGCATACCACCTGGGCTGGTCCTGATACTGTCCCACAACACACATCTCGGACTCCTTACAACCTGGGCTGGTCCTGATACTACCCCACAACCCCACGTCTCTGACTGCATACCACCTGGGCTGGTCCTGATACTACCCCACAACCCCACATCTCTGACTGCATGCCACTTGGGCTGGTCCTGATACTGTCCCACACCCCACATCTCTGACTACATACAACCTGGGCTGGTCCTGATACTACCCCACAACCGACCTCTCTGACTGCATATCACCTGGGCTGATCCTGATACTAACCCACAACCCACCTCTCTGACTGCATACAACCTGGGCTGGTCCTGATACTACCCCACACCCCACATCTCTGACTGCATACCACCTGGGCTGGTCCTGATACTACACCACACCCCACATCTCTGACTGCATACATCCTGGGCTGGTCCTGATACTAACCCACAAACCACCTCTCTGACGGCACACCAACTGGGCTTGTCCTGATACTATCCCACACCCCACATCTCTGACTGCATACATCCTGGGCTGGTCCTGATACTAACCCACAAACCACCTCTCTGACGGCACACCAACTGGGCTTGTCCTGATACTATCCCACCCCCTACATCTCTGACTGCATACCAACCGGGCTGGTCCTGATACTATCCCACACCCCACATCTCTGACTGCATACCACCTGGGCTGGTCCTGATACTACCCCACAACCCACATCTCTGACTGCACACCACCTGGGCTGGTCCTGATACTATCCCACAACCCACCTCTCTGACTGCATACCAGCTGGGCTGGTCCTGATACTACACCACACCCCACATCTCTGACTGCATACATCCTGGGCTGGTCCTGATACTAACCCACAAACCACCTCTCTGACGGCACACCAACTGGGCTTGTCCTGATACTATCCCACCCCCTACATCTCTGACTGCATACCAACCGGGCTGGTCCTGATACTATCCCACACCCCACATCTCTGACTGCATACCACCTGGGCTGGTCCTGATACTACCCCACAACCCACATCTCTGACTGCACACCACCTAGACTGGTCCTGATACTATCCCACAACCCACCTCTCTGACTGCATGCCACTTGGGCTGGTCCTGATACTACCCCACAACACACATCTCTGACTGCATACCACCTGGGCTGGTCCTGATACTGTCCCACACCCCACATCTCTGACTACATACAACCTGGGCTGGTCCTGATACTACCCCACAACCGACCTCTCTGACTGCATATCACCTGGGCTGATCCTGATACTAACCCACAACCCACCTCTCTGACTGCATACAACCTGGGCTGGTCCTGATACTACCCCACAAACCACATCTCTGACTGCATACCACCTGGGCTGGTCCTGATACTACACCACACCCCACATCTCTGACTGCATACATCCTGGGCTGGTCCTAATACTAACCCACAAACCACCTCTCTGACGGCACACCAACTGGGCTTGTCCTGATACCATCCCACCCCCTACATCTCTGACTGCATACCAACCGGGCTTGTCCTGATACTATCCCACCCCCACATCTCTGACTGCATACCAACCGGGCTGGTCCTGATACTATCCCACACCCCACATCTCTGACTGCATACCACCTGGGCTGGTCCTGATACTATCCCACAACCCACCTCTCTGACTGCATATCACATGGGCTGGTCCTGATACTAACCCACACCCCACATCTCTGACTGCATACCACCTGGGCTGGTCCTGATACTACCCCACAAGCCACCTCTCGGATTGCATACCACCTTGGCTGGCTTTAACAGCAAACTGGATGATCCCACTACATTTTAATGTGATGCCCTCTATTGGCTCCTCTGAGTCTCCACACCATGTGTCTCATTTACAGTTCATTTGTGGAGGTGTGTAGCTGAACCACATCACTGTGTTCGTATCAAACGATGCCATTGGATACTCTCATCAAGCAGCGGGAATATGCCATTTACATAATCTGGACATATTCTCTTAAAGTATTGGGCCTGAATTTTTTCTCAACAATAAAGACAACTGACGGCCATTGTGGAATTTCTCCCACGACAGATTGCCATTCGAGGAATCGACAATTGCGTTCACCTGTGTTGTACAGTTACATCGACGCGGAACAATTTACTATACACTCTCAAAATAGCGTCGTCATCAGATTGTTCGAATCTCCGGAAATGGGGTCATGACATTAACTACAACTCGTTCATCATTGTTATTGTACAATTTATTGAGTTATCTGATGTACACATGTATTTAATACACTTAATAGAACCCACGAATCCGTTGGTATATGACCAGAAGGTGGCCACATGAATGCATGCAAACACTTAGTTGCGGGTACATCAACGTGCAGTCAACAAAGTACTGTGACTGTGTCCCAGTCCACCCAGCTGTGAATGGGTACCTAGTTAGGATGAGAAAGTCACAATAAACTCGGTGCGCCTAGAGGCAGCAAGAGTTGTATACTCCCAAGGGAGTTGAGATTGACGTCCAATGATCGAGGGAAAAATATACCAGCAAGGACTAGTTGCGTGGATATGTGCGCTATATAAATATAAATATTCTATGATATTGATGATAATAATAATTCATCCCTGTTACATTCCTACTTTTTATGACTTGATGAAATACTCCACAAACGTAGCCCTACTGAACATGCTTGATGCATGTGAATCGAATCCTTCCACAGTAATTGTACACAGATGCCTTAAAAAGTTAAAAATAAAATGTAAATTAGTATTCTTCTCGCCTCCCATGTTTTTTTAGAAATTAATCAAACTCTGTATGTAAATTTATTGCGGCCTTACCTTCAGAAGCTCGGCATGCTAATATTGAAAATTAACCCCCATTCACAGCCCGGGGTACGTGCATTGCTCTGAATAAGTAAGTGAGCTGGCTTAACACGACTTTCAACAGTACTTATTTTTCAGTTATATCACGGCTTGTCAGCTCGATATAGGATGAAACCCACCAACCTAGGCACGTTCAAGGTACGCAACTCCATTGCGACGCCTCAGACTACTGACAACATAAGACATAATCTCAGAAGGGCTGTACTTGAGGTTGATGATGTATTTTCATTAGAAACAGTTTTGGGCCCCAATGTCATGTATGGGTCTGTGCAACGGGCAGTTTAGATTTTGTCTCGTCATCTCGAAAATATGATGTAATCTAGACAGGCTCTCGAATGGCTTAGACAGATTTAGTTCTGTGGTTTTAAATCATTTTAACACTCTGTCATCTGAACCTACTGCTTTTTTAATGAATGAGTATTTCATGTTTCAGAAATGGAAGTGATTACTTAAGGTTCTTAATCCGTAACACAAAGCAGAGGTTATTCGACATACGTATACATCTATCCAAATTAAGAGTGTTGTCGTTTCTTTTATCTTAACTAAAAAAATCCTTTTGACGATGAAATTACCTATGATTGTTTTTTAAATCAAGTCAATGTGTTGGGCTCAAATAGGCCTCTTATTGGCCCACGTCGCCCTAAACTATAAAACCAACCAACAAACCTCAGATGACTGAGTTACCCGTGATCCCGGTTCAAGATGACTGTATAGGTAATTGGCAGAAAAACGGGAGATCGCGAGAATGCGAGATCGCGAGAATGACCCTTACAGTATTCCATACAATCTGGTATGTAAACAAATTCATTGCATGTTATACATCACATTATATCAATAAGGGAACCGAATGACTTGGTTATGTGCAGGTTGGCGGTGTATGGAGTACAAACAACGACGGACGGAGACGTGTGAGTAGGGCAAACAGTCAGTGTGGGTGATGACTTTACTAGAATCTACCCCAAATGTCTACCTGAATTCTACCAGTTTAAATGAATAAATAAATCAATAATTCAATCAATCAATCAATAATTCAATCAATCCATCAATATTCGCATCTTCGCACAAACATAAAAGGTAAGAAAAAACATAACTAACATTATGTTTTGATACATTGTATACTTCACGGAGCATGTACCTGCATGTATATCAAGTTTTATCACTGCATCATTACAAACCCCTGTTTTCTAAAACAAGCTACACAATCCCCACTGCATATATGCTGACAGTGACTCCCGTATGGCCCGTCCTTACACCCACGAGTACAGCTACCGGTCACACACATTGTCTCTACAATGGAGACATTTCTTGTGGCAGTGTTTCCCATGGTACCCTGGGACACAGCCCTCCACGCACGATCCATCATGACTGTAACACAGGGAAGACCTGCAGGAGACACTACACGAGGTATTACATTGTAACCCGTGCCACCCAGTCTTACATCCTTCCTGACAAACTGCAGTATGTCGATCACAGTGCTTGTGTCCATCTCTTCCTCTGTAGCACTTCGCGGGGCACGTCTTACTGCAGTGGTGTCCATGGTTACCAGGCTGACACTGTTCACATACCCCAGTCTGTCTGTCACAGCCACTGGTCCAGCAATGTTGACACCTGTCTTCGCACTTCTGTCCATAGAAGCCTGCTTCACATCCATGTAGACAGTACCCCGTGATGCTGCACCTTCCCATCAGACAGTTGTCACATGTCATGTTACAGAAGCCCCCTGCCCATCTTCCATCACACCCATCAAGACATTCTCCTGTGTGTATGTGACAGACTGATGCCTTGCAGTTGGGTGGACATCGTCCATCACAATGTGCCCCGGTCCATCCTCCACCACAAGATTCAGAACAAGCACCTGTATGTCGGTCACAGTAGACAGCGCCACCTACCGGAAAGCTGGAACATCGTGGTGGACAGGGTGTGTCGCAGTGTCGTCCATAGAACCCTGGCCTACATCTGAAACATTCTCCAGTGGACCTGTCACATCCGTCATCGTGACAACGTCCTTGGCATGTAGAGCTGCAGTTTGATCCGTGACACCCGGTGTTACATGACTGACATCTAAGACGACCATTCCCATGTCTGCACCCACTTGTCTTACATGAGTCGTGACTAAGGATAAATTGTAATACATTAGAAGTGTCAGATAAAAATGTCAGGTTTTGTTTTTAAGAAACGACACGAATATCACAAATGTAACTTCCACAAATTTGAGTTTCGTTTCTTTTTCAGTCCAATAACCATGGCGAATATTATTTCATTGTATCATTATGTACGTGTATTTACCAAGAGAGTATGTCAGCGCCAGCAGGGCATGGATCAGCACCACAAGCGACAAGAACTGACCGCCGTTCATTGCTCCAGAGAGTAGTTGACTGATGACAACAGATGCAAGGATTAGAACATAACTGAATAAGCTAAAAGTTACTCTGTTTCTTAACACTCCATATACAACACATACACTCCATATAAAACACATTTGCAACATATATACATCACATACACACCATATACAACACATTTGCAACATATGTATACAACACATACACTCCATATACAACACATTTACAACATATATACTTCACATACACTCTATAGACAACACATTTGCAACATACAAGTATACAACACATACACTCCATATGCAACACATTTACAACATACATATAAACAACTAATACACTTCATATACAACACATTTACAAAATACATGTATGCAACACATACACTCCATAAACAACACATTTGCAATTTACATATATACATCACATACACACCATATACAACACATATTCTACATACATGTATACAACACATACACTCCATATGCAACACATTTGCAACATACATATATACAACACATACACTCCATATACAACACATTTACAGCATACATATATACAACACATACACTCCATATGTAACACATTTGAAACATACATATACAACACATACACTCCATATGCAAAACATTTGCAACATACAAATATACATCACATACACACCACATACAACACATTTGGAACACATATACATCACATACACACCATATACAACACATTTGGAATAGATAAACACACGTACACACCATATACAACACATACACACTACATACAACGCTTGTAGAACACATATACTTCACATAAACACCATATACAACACATGCACAACACATATACATCACATACACATCATATACAACACATTTGAAACACATACACATCACATACACACCATATACAACACATGTACAGCACATATACATCACATACACACCATATTCAACACCTGTAGAACACATATACATCACATACACACCATATACAACACATTTGAAACACATATACATCACATACACACCATATACAACCACATGAACAGCACATATACATCACATACACACCATATACAACACCTGTAGAACACATATACATCGCATACACACCATATTCAACACAGGTAGAACACAAATACATCACATACACACCATATACAACACATGTACAGCACATATACACCACATACACACCATATTCTACACCTGTAGAACACATATACATCGCATACACACCATATACAACACATTTGAAACACATATACATCACATACACACCATATACAAGACATGTACAGCACATATGCATCACATACACACCATATTCAACACAAGTAGAACACAGATACATCACATACACACCATATACAACACATGTACAGCACATATACACCACATACACACCATATTCTTCACCTGTAGAACACATAAACATCACATACACACCATATACAACACATGTACAAAACATAGACATCACATACACACCACATACAACACATCTGAAACACATATACATCACATACACACCATATACAACACATGCACAACACATATACATCACATACACATCATATACAACAGATGTACAGCACATATACATCACATACACACCATATGCAACACATGTACAACACATAGACATCACATACACACCACATACAACACATCTGAAACACATATACATCACTTACACACCATATACAACACATGTACAGCACACATACATCACATACACACCATATTCTACACCTGTAGAACACATATACATCGCATACACACCATATACAACACATGTACAACACATATACATCACATACACACCATATGAAAAACATGTACAACACATATACATCACATACACACCATATACAGCACATGTAGAACACATATACATCACATACACACCATATGCAACACATATTCGAGATACATGTACACAACACATACACTCCATATGCAACACATTTACAACATACATATATACAACACATACACACCATATGCAACACATTTGGAACATACATATATACAACACATACACTCCATATGCAACACATGTACAGCACATATACACCACATACACACCATATTCTACACCTGTAGAACACATATACATCGCATACACACCATATACAACACATTTGAAACACATATACATCACATACACACCATATACAAGACATGTACAGCACATATGCATCACATACACACCATAGTCAACACAAGTAGAACACAGATACATCACATACACACCATATACAACACATGTACAGCACATATACACCACATTACTAACACACCATATTCTTCACCTGTAGAACACATAAACATCACATACACACCATATACAACACATTTGAAACACATAAACATCACATACACACCATATACAACACATGTACAACACATAGACATCACATACACACCACATACAACACATTTGAAACACATATACATCACATACACACCATATACAACACATACACACTACATACAACGCATGTAGAACACATACACTTGACATAAACACCATATACAACACATGCACAACACATATACATCACATACACATCATATACAACAGATGTACAGCACATATACATCTCATACACACCATATGCAACACATGTACAACACATAGACATCACATACACACCACATACAACACATTTGAAACACATATACATCACATACACACCATATACAACACATGTACAACACATATACATCACATACACACCATATAAAAAACATGTACAACACATATACATCACATACACACTAATACATATATACAGCACATGCAGAACACATATACATCACATATACACCATATGCAACACATATTCAAGATACATGTACACAACACATACACTCCATATGCAACACATTTACAACATACATATATACAACACATACACACCATATGCAACACATTTGGAACATACATATATACAACACATACACTCCATATGCAACACATTTGCAACATACAAATATACATCACATACACACCACATACAACACATGTACAGCACATATACATCACATACACACCATATACAAGACATTTACAACACATAGACATCACATACACACCACATACAACACATTTGAAACACATATACATCACATACACACCATATACAACACATGTACAGCACATATAGATCACATACACACCATATTCTACACCTGTAGAACACATATACATCGCATACACACCATATACAACACATTTGAAACACATATACATCACATACACACCATATATACAACACATGTACAGCACACATACATCACACATACAATAACATATTCAACACATGGTGTAGAACACAGATACATCACATACACACCATATATACAACACATGTTGAGCACACACATACAACACACATGCACACCATATTCTACACCTGTAGAACACATATACATCACATACACACCATCTACATAAACACATTTGAAAACACATATACATCACATACACAATCAACTATACAACACATACCACACATAGACATCACATACACACCACATACAACACATTTGAAGCACATATACACTCACATACAAAACAACCATATACAAATACATGAACAGCACATATACATCACATAACACCTATATACAACACCTGTAGAACACATATACATCACATACACACCATATTCAACACAAGTAGAACACAAATACATCACATACAACACATATATACAACACATGTACAGCACATATACACATAACCACAATACACACCACATTCTACACCTGTAGAACACATACACATAGGACATTACATACACCACATACATACAACACATTTGAAACACATATACATCACATAACAATCCATATACAACACATATACAAGATACATATACATTACATCATTAATAACCATATTCAACACAAGTAGAACACAGATACATCACATACACACCATATACAACACATACTGCAAACAATACACACCATTACATACACACCATATTCTCACACCTGCAGAATACATATACACCACATAATAATAATTCACATACAACACATTTGAAACACATAAACATCACATTACTCACCATATACAAAACACATGTACAACACATAGACATCACATAACAACACCTATATACAACACATCTGAAACACATTATACATCACATTAATAATCCGCTATACAACACACATGTACAAGCACATATATACATCACATACACACCATATACAACAACCTGTAGAACACATACATCATCGACACACCATATTCAACACAGTAAGAACACAGATACATCACATACACACCATATACAACACATGTACAGCACATATACACCACATACACACCACATACAACACATTTGAAACACATATACATCGCATACACACCATATACAACACATGTACAGCACATAGACATCACATACACACCACATACAACACATTTGAAACACATATACATCACATACACACCTTATACAACACATGTACAGCACATAAACATCACATACACACCATATACAACACATGTACAACACATAGACATCACATACACACCACATACAACACATTTGAAACACATACACATCAGATACACACCATATACAACACATTGTACATTACAATATACATCACATACACATCCATATACAACA